GAGCTCTCTCTCTCTCTCTCTCTCTCTCTCTCTCTCTCAAGGCATCACCTATATTTGCCATCGCCGCCGCCTTTGCCTTGTATTTTCCTTTCGCTGCGCACATTCCTGGAAAAGCCATTTATGAAATGTGTAAATAAAAACAAGTTCACTGGGTATAAAATGCTTTGTCATACCAGTCACCTGATGCATGGCATATTCGTAAAAATGGCACTTTTTAGCACGGTTGCTGAACGCCAGGCATGCTGTATTAATCTTGGCTGACAAATAACAGATAGCACCTTGAGAGTTAATTGTCCATTGCTCCCCTCTTTCAAGAAAGTCCAGGGCCCCGTATCTCGATTCCATAACTCGCCCATACCCCCCCCCCCCCCCACATGGGGGTTATGGAATAGAGACTCTTTCGCTCGGTCGCAATGCGCGATGCGTTCGAGTTACGGGGCCCATGATCTAAAATTAAAAACACTCTCCCTTAGAGAAGTTTACAGGGATGTTCTCCTATTTTGGTCCGGGAAGATTCTGCCATCTCAGTGTGACAGAAATAGTACAATGTGGTCCTAGGAATGGACGTCCGGGTTCCCATATTAGTATAGCAGGTTAGGGTTAGTCGGAGTAATGGGTTAGTATATGAGACGAATGTCACCAGTCCAAAATAGTTGGGAGCGCACTCCGGCCTAATTCTGCCACATTTCTGTTTTATGCTAGAACTTGTTTTATCTGGTTTTCATATGGATAATATATGGCCTAATTACCTCGTCATTTGACAATATCATTAGGTGTCTAGAAATTCAAACCTAACCGCAGGCTAGAAAAAGAACGACAAAGAAATAAGAATACAACTATTTTTTTAAAAGAAGAAAAGAAAATCCATCTTCAATAACTGGCCTAGAGCAATGGTTTATGCCTCGGTAAAATTAAGAAAATTTGTTAAATGTTTTGTAGTTGCAACATGTCTATCATTTATATTAATTATCATATCTATCATATTTAAACTGATCATACGAGTTTTGGCGCTTAAACGTCTGTTCGATTTCAACATCATTTGTTTCCTTGTTTCTTTTCATAAAAAAAAACAAAAAAAAAAAAAACAAAAAAAAAAAACAAAAAAAAAACAAACAAAAAAAAAAAAAAAAAAAAAAAAAATGAAACCTTCGTTACAGAAATTTCCCCAATGGGGCTGACATGTACAAGCAAGGCATGATTGCAATAGTTTTTAAAAATGTCCATGATGTATACAAAAATATAGGTATATTGCTTTCTGTTACCCGATTTTAGAAAAAAATTAATTCGCCTACATTTACTTCAATTTTCACTTTTCTTTTTGCTTCAAATGGGCCTATATGTTGAGAAAGAGTGTGTAGTGCTGCTGTTTTTTTTTTTTTTT